ACATGGAGGTACGAATGCATGCAACAATTGCACAGGACCTATACGGTTGTCCGGCGGACAAGAAGCAATGCCAACCTTGCTGATTCCAGGCGCGGCTGCTTTTGCCACCTGGTCTCCGTCAGGATCACGATCTGGACGTGCTGAGGTCCAGCCCACTGCAGCACTTCCTGCAGCGCCGCAGCTGTCAGCCCGCTTGCATTCCATGTGAGAATGCCGCATCGATTCCTGAGGCGTCGGGGTTCAGTCATCCGCCATTGGTGGGCCGGATGCAGTGCTTCGACAGGCTTAGTATTCGATGGGGCAAGCTGGCGGACTTTACATGTTTGACATCCTAACGAGGCAGGAGTGACAAGACGGCCATGGTACCAAGTGTACCCCCAAGTCAAAGCCCTTTGTTTGGCTCTTCTGAAACTCCTCTTTTTAATCGAAGATCCTTTAGTGATCTGTAAATAGGAAGATGTGGGGTCATGCGTGTTTGTGGCAGGCTCAACAAAGTGATCTAACACAGTATGAAGCGCCACTTCAGTTGGTCTCATGACCGACCAACAACCCTCACCTTTCATGCCTGACTGGGTGTGCTTGGAAGGCATCAAAGTGCCAGGCATGCCGCGGACTTGGGGCCGCGGTCCAGGCAGGACCTGGTCCACACTAATGCAATTGAGAAGCACGAAAGCTCCAAGGATCGAAAGCACAGTGTGCCAGCAGGTCAAGCTCCACATCCAATCGGCCGCACGACGACCGCGGCGCAAGCGCTCAGCGCGCCATCAGAAGGTGACGGAGCGAGCCGGCCGGGGAACGACCATGGCAGGCCCTGTCTGGAAAAGGCTTAAGAACAACAACAACAACAACAACAGTCCGCGGGCCTTCCGAAAGCGGGTCTTCATGTGAGCCATTTGCTCAATCTCTGGCACGCCCAACATCTGGCCCGGCTTCGGAACCCCTTCGACGTCTGATTACTGATGGTCCATTGGTCAAAAATACGCTTTCGATGGGACATGGCGGAGCAACTGGATTTATAAACCTGAGTCGACTAGTGGGACTGTCAGATGGGTAATCTCACCGGCTTGCAGGCAGTCAAGACATGTGCATAAAACATGCATTAAAGATCCAGAATCCACCGATCGACCTGCAGTACCGATCTCAATCACAAACACCCCACCTCGAAGAGAGCATTCTCCTCCTGTTCCTGTCTGAGCGAGTGCAGTGGAGCTGCCTCATACTTGGTTGGATAGATGGTGCACCCCTCTTTTTGATCATGCAAAAGTGTGAGATGCGCCACAAATCATCATCCAAAAAGCTAAACGCCAGCTAATTATTCAATGTGTTTACCAATTGTCCCTTAGGGCCCTTTCTCGTCCGATGTCTTGTATCTGGCCTCATGCCAACGTGAGTATCAATGTTCTTAAGCCAGTTTCAGTAGCCACTTGCAAGGTTAATTATTGACGGCTGCACAAGAAATACATCTGGTCTAGCTGTACACGCCTTGCAAGGTTACAAGATACATGGACCTTCAAGCAATGTAGTCGAAGCTGTCTTGCTCGAACAATCAGCTCTGTCTCAAATTAACCCCGATGTTCTCTGTGTTCATTATTTTTCTTACTACCCTTACAATCAAACCCTCGGTTGCCTTACCACTCAATTGCCTCCGCCCTTAGTCTAGTCTAGTAGAATGGCGACTCTCCCTTCGCAACTACTCCTCCAACATCTCCAACCAGTCCAAAGGCTGGCTGGATATGGCTAGTCTGGACCAGAGTCATCTTCCCAACATGTCCCCCTCCGGCACAGTTGATGCATCGGCAGAAAACGACCAGAAAATACACGAATTCTAAAGGTTCAGTGTGGGATGTTCTCGATCGCTGTTGACCCCTCAGGATAGAACTGGTCCTTCCTTCGGAACCCAAAGCGATAGCTGCTTGGTGAGCTCCGTCCCCGTCTCGCTCCAGCTCCAAACTCCAGTGTCCTCCTCTTCCTTCCGCGCCGCATCTTCCGTGCTGCGCTTCACATTGAGAACCTGATGCCAGCGGAGGGAGAAGGGAGCACAGCGATCTGCATAGGTGTCCTTGAAAGATTGCATCGGATTGCTCACTCTACTCCCTTTCAGAAGGTGCCTTTCAGGTGCTTTTGTTGTTCTGGAGACAATGTCAGCCCAGGATCTGTCCCCCCAGAAAGCCCAAGTCCATCAAAATCCCAAGATATCCGGTCACGGAACAGAATCGTCCACCCACAAACCATGTGGAACCCCGAGAAAAACACGTATTTCACGTACAAAACGAAGCTCAGCAAAAGCTTTTGGATCGACACGGCATCTGATGGATCTCGCGGTGTCTCCGGCCAAACGCCAGTGACCGCGTTGGCTGTGAACGGTGGTTTCTGGGGAGCCCTCGCCAAGAAGAAGACGGAGACCCGCAGCTCGTCCTTCCGGAGACCCGAACAAAAGCGGGTTCCAAAAAAAGTGAAGGCTGCTTCACCCCGGAAAGGAGTCTTGAGCTGAATTGGTTGTTTGGTTTTGATTTGGGGTGTTTCCGGAACAAAAAGGGGTTCGAAGCGCGACGTGTCGAAGAGTTTTTTTCGACGTTCGATGCTGCTAATGAAGATATAGAAAACAAATGAAACAGCACCTGGCATTCACAAAACCTTGCAGGCATTGGGCTAGTTGCAAGTCATGCTGCATCGGATGTCGTATTTGGGGAGGTCCGAAAAAATCTACCGCATCTACGTGTGTATTAGTTGAAAGCCCCTCCCCTCTATGACCCTTGAGAAGGGCCGTAAATACCTCAGGCGGCAAGTTGAGCATGAAACTCAAAAGGCCCTGTAAGGTCCGAGGTGGGTGTGCCTAAGTGTTTGTTTGTCAAAAAAATGCCCCTCCCCTGTCTCTCGCATCTGCAGGGAACATTCCCAACGAAGCACCTGGCAAAACATTCTACCACAGGCCACTAATAGTTGTCCTACCTCCCTCGGATGTTCAACTTCTGAAAGAACTTGCTTTGATCCCAAGTTGCACGCTTGATCAAGTTCAGGCCGAAGAACGAAAACTGGATACGGGCAGCTGCAGCTCTGCGCCCTTTCTTGGGGCATGGGATGGGCCAATCAATCCAGCCGCGTGTTTGAAGGATCATGGAATCATGTGCTGATCGGCTGAGGAACCTTCTTTTGGGGAACCAATCTTGGGCTTGGGGGGGCGCCAGCGAGTCATAACCCACAAACAGAAGCTGCTCCTGGCCTCATTCACGAGCTGAAACAAAGCATCGCGCGCCTGGGAATCGTGTGAAGAGACGAGTGGAAGCCGAGCGATCCTTTTCGAATGGAAGTGAAGCATGGGCCCTGGTCGAAGCATGTTCATCCATATTCCTTGTCCACAGAGGCAGGGTGAATGCTAGACCGAACTTTCCCCCAAATCTGCTCGTCATATGTCCTGCATTGAAAAAAATGACTAAATATGACCCGCATCTCTGGGCCTTAGAAGCACAAACAACAAACATGTGTCAGAGCAAACAGGCACCTCGCTTGACTCCAGGTTGAATGAACTGAACGGACCACTAAAGGATGTCACTCATTTGACCCTCGCCAGAGCTGCTTTGTGCCATACCTGCTCCTCTCCGCTCCTAAAGAGGGTTCGCGCCTTGCTGAGCTTCCGAAAATTCTCCTGGACGTTTGCGGGAAGCGCCGAAGACGAAGAGCGATGTCTTGGGAGCTGGGATGAGCTGGGTTTTGGTCTGAAACCTCACCAATCTGATACCTTCAGAAAAATGAACATAGAAAGCACAATTCGATTAAGAAACATCCCATCCAGGGGAAAAGGAGTGAGAAGCCACAAATCAAAACAGGAGACGCCTCCAGAGGTTCTCGATCTTGGGCGTTGGTCCAAACTCTAGCCTTCAACCCAGTCTTTGAAGCATTCATTCTCCAATCCTGCTAGGATAGGGGCACACAACAACACAAGAATGTGGGGGTTTATTGCGGGCCCTTATATAGGATTGGCTTGTTCTCTACCACCAATCAACATAGAAATCCTGTTGCTTTGGTATTGCAACCACTAAGACTAAGAACAATCACAAGGCGTTGCAATAGGTCTTTGGCCTCAAGCCGCTTTCCGAAAACCCAAGCAAGCAGTACACTCCCCACCATTTTGGGACGGAAGCATGTGTGGGACTGGGAAGGGGAATGGAATCAAACCATGAAAGTGGCCCCCAAAAGCACATGATTCCCACCATTGGAACCATGTTTGAGGAATCATGTTTCAAGTGTGGAACACCATGGTTTGAAAGTGAAACCCATGTTTGAGGAGTCTCGCCTTTGCCAACACCCCGCCGGACTTATATACGGGCCCTGATGGGCCCTGATTGGGAATCCGACTAGTCCCGGGCTGCTCAGCATCAGTTCTGAACCAGCTTCTTTCTGAGAAGCCCGGCTCCAAACCGAGGTGTTCCATCAACTCGAACGCAGTTGATTGAACTATACTGGAAACAGCTTCAAGGCACCCACATACTCCACATTTGGACCCAAACGAATCCCGGCCTTCACGCATAAAACATTTCGGAGCTCGATAGGGTGAAGCACACGCCCCCAAAGTAAAAAGCTCCAAACTCGTGGCTAGGAGAGTTTCTCCGAAACTTATTGAATCCTGCATGGTCCTGAACTCCCAGAACCGGATTCCAGACCGGTTTCGATCCAGTTCCCACTTTCCACCCGAGCCTGACGAACCCAACGAACCACCAAAAAGGACCCCCTGGCTGGGCGACGGAGGGGACCCCATGCCGACCTTGTCCAGGTCAAAGCACTGCTCTGAGAAGGCGTCCACCTTGGCGACCACGTTCCAGTCACTCCATGTCAACATGTCCATCGAGTGCCATGTGCAACGGCTGGGTTCACGAAGATCGCGATTCGATTACTCCCTTCGCAGAGTTTGTTGACAGCAAATTCTTCAAAAATCGGCTAATGGATGTTAATGGTCATCACCGCGCAACCTGCATAATCACTGCGATTTCACAAGCTCCCATCCCTCACCCCTTCTGGCCCCCAGCCACAAAGAAGACCCCATGAATCCGAAGATACCTGCACCGGCGCAGCCCGATGTGGGCGCCGCGATGTGCGCGGCTGCCACTGAGAACCCTAGAAGGGTCCTGGTTCCTTCAGGTTCCACGGTGTGTCATGTGATGTCATGTGTACACCCATCAGGTCGTTCACGTGCCCCGCCTGTAGAACATCGGCCACAGGGGTCGCATCACGTCATTGCCAGGCACTTCCCAGATGCTGTACTGCCTAGAGAAGTTGGGAGCGAGCAAGTCGGATTCTGGGTGTTCCAGTCCAATGATTCTATTCTGGGTTGGAGACTTCTCATGGAAATAGACAGTTTTCTCCTCAATCCTCGAGTAGATGCATGTAGAGTACTTCAAGGAAACCAACAAGGCATGGAAATCTGCTTTCGCAGGAAGACCTGTGAATGATCCTGACTTCTACCAGGATACTCTCTTGGCCCATATGGTATCTCCGCAGTGCAACCTTTGGGGTTTGCCTGTAGCTCCTTGGCCCCCTGTTTAAAGGGGAATATGGATACCCCCAGCTCCTTAGCTCCCTCCTAACCACCAGCTATAGTAATTGTATACTGTATCAGACTGTATATATAATGCGCACCCGTATGAATCAAGCCCAGCTCGATCCCCCAATGCTAAACTATGTTAAAACCAAAATGTCGACATTGACAACAAATATGTTCTTCTTGGCACAAACCATCTGCCCCCAGGAAATTGGAAAATTGTATTTGTCATAATTATAATCATGATTTAGTTTTTTTTCAGTGGGCATCCAATATCATCAGGTGCAGGTCATCACCTCATCATCCATCATCAGGTCATCACTTTCACGTTTATTGGGGATGGTGGTCTCCAAAACCTCCAATCTCTAACCCTGTTGACCTTGTTGACCTTGAAGGGGGGGAGCCTTCGATTAATCCGACATTCCATTCTTCACTTTCTCGCTGTGCCCTGCTCGCTCTATGAGGTCTCAAGATCTTCACATCCAAAACGTCGCTTCCCAAAAGGACACGCACCACTGGCCCACGACCTCGTGGTGGATTCACCCCATTCCAGGACCCCGTGGTCGCGGCACCCGATGGTGGGACTACTGAGCTCCTCGAAGTGGTACCTGCCCGTCCGGTGAGGTCCGAGGCCGCCGGACCATGCGGCGCGTGGCGCGAAGAGCGGGGAGGTGTCGGTCCCTTTTTGGTTACCCCACAAGGTCACCAAGCTCACCAAGCTCACCAAGGGAGGGGTCAGAAGGATTGAAGAACGAGTGAGTCACAGTGAGTCTGCTCATGCGGACAGCATGGTTCGCCCCACAAAAAAAGCGCTGGGGCGATTCGGAAGGGTCCCTCTTCACACGAAAAGGAGATCTTGCTGCCCTTCCCACATCTTAGCAGCATAGCCATGGGAAGATGCAGTTGCTCAACCAACCATGGACCATACCTCAGGAATTTAGATCTGTAAGAATCTGTAAGGCGTAAGGGAAAGAAGGGCGGAACATGCCCAGCTTGATGTTCTAGTTCTCAGATGCCAAGTCTTAATTCTTAACCTTCCCTGACCGGTCATCGCGTCTTCAGGGCCCCCAGCCCAGGGTCTTGTTTGGCGGCCTTAAGGTAGACCATGTCCTGCCACCGAGCCGAAGGGGATGGGAAGTCGATCGCTTCGCCGAGATCGGCCGTCGCGTGGATGAGAAGCAAGAAGTGAAGGAGCCAAGTGAAAGCCAATGGGTTGTTAATTTAATTCTAATTTAATTCTTGTTTCTAATAGCTTCTTGTTACTAGTAGTAAGGCACTTGTTACTAGTAGCGATGCACTTGTTCCTAGTAGCTTATTGTTTCTAATACCCTTGGTGCCACCCTTGTCGCCTCTCCAACCCCTCATGCTGGGTTCGCTTGGAAATCCCATTGGTGAAGTACAGATCTCGAGTCGATCTCGGGTCAAATTCACAAAGTAATTAAATATATAAATACATATACATATAGAGAGAGAGAGAGATCTCACAATCACCTGATTCCTCCAGAAAATGGAACTGGACCAAAAGGTCTCTCGGCAGCCAACCCGACTGCATCGTGATTATCGCTGACAGCGATGTCCCCGGCCGAACCTGGGTGACGTCAGCCTTCTTGTACCTCAGTCCGTCGCCCAAACTGTTTCGGGGTCGAACCTGGGTGGACGACTGAGACTGGTACAGGTATCAGTGCTGGACTTTTGGGGGGGTTTTGGAAGGGGAGGCATCTGGAAAACTGAAGAGCTCGAGGAGTCGTAGATGTCCAATCCACATTCGACAGGTCCGGTCCCACACCAACTCATGCGACACGTCCGCTCAAAGAGAAGACGTCGCTCTTTTCCATGTGACGGACTCCAAACCCCAAATGCTTGCCACAGCGCACCCGTTGATCTTCAACTTGTACAGGAAGGTGGTCTTCCCTGCGCCCTCCAGACCCAGCATGAGGAACTGATAGCTCTGCGGGACAAGGCTCACAACGACGGGTCGTTGCAGGTGGAAGAATCATTTCAACTGAGGGTCTTCAGTGGGGGGCAGGGTCTGAGGAAGAAAAGGGTGTGCTGATATGCACGTAGGATGTGTTCCTGAACTTGGCAATGCCCTAGCTAAAAACTGTAACTAAAGCTGTATGTATGTGTAGGGCTTCAAGTCTGAGAATTCCAAGAAGTTGGGCATGCCATCAAGAAACAGTTCAGAAGCGTGCAGGTGTTCCCGAGTTTCACGTCTGTGGCAAAAGACACTAGGCTGGATCTGATTGAAACTAAACAGTTTGGAAAAACTTGTTGTTTCCACTTTCCACCGAAACAATTCCCGATGTATATTGTTCAAGAGAAACATCTCTTAGTTTGTGTGAGGGATCACTACAAGTCTTAAAGTCGCACAGCGGACAACCTGCACCTTTCAGCCTATCTATTTGTATAGAGTATAGTATAGGTATATATTAGGCCTCTTGCGAGAAGGGAAACACAATGCCATTCACCGAATGGCCTAACATAGAACCCAGTGGCAGAAAGCTCTACAGCATAATTGCATCGTCCTTGGTGAACACTAGGTAAGGAAAGTCGCTCCCGCCAGCCTTCCAAGTTTGATAGAAGTCTAATTTGTACCCTTCTTGAAACACACGACTGACTGAGCTACCTTGTGGGGAATTATTGACCATCTGACAGTGCTTGGTCATCCATCAATGTCACCATGACCTAAGGCCTTAGGCCACTGACTGGTTTTCAGTGAGGCATTAGGCATGTTCTTCTATAGTAAGGCTTGAATTGAGATCCTTGGTATACCTTGGCCCGTTGGCTCAACAGATTTCCGCCTGTACTGAGAATATCTGAAAGTCGAATATAAGGCGATGACTTCCGCCCCCAGTCTGTACCACACCATCAGTTGCATTGAAAAAAATCAACCTCCCCCAATCGATGTCTCTCATCATCCACCGTCTCAACCGGAAGGACGAATGGGATGGCATGGCACGTGTGGGATCTACTCTGCTACTGAGGAGGATCTATCCTCCAAGTGCATCCCTCCTGTTCATGGAATTGACCTCAAGAACATCAAAGGTGACCCAACGTTCGGTTTGGGGACATCATGTTTTTTCTCCAAAACCAAGCCGAGCTCCCGTGTCCAGCAGTCTGGTGGACGTTTGTATACGTGGCCATCCATGTGCCTTCCCCAGCTTCCATGATTTCACCAATAGAGATCCCTATAACTTAGCTTGAATCGACCCTCAGTCCCTTCTAATCACTCTTCCATCCACTGCGAATGAAAACGCCGACGGATTTGCATCCACCTCTCACTCTTCCATCTATCCGCCTGTGTCCCAGATAGGCTGCTGAACCTGGCACTGCGTGAGGAATCCGTGCGAGACAAAATGACTGGAACATGGTGGAGCTTCCTCTCACCGAGACGATCCTCTTCCCCCAAACTCACCGGAAGTCGCAGACCCAGGGACCAGGGAACCAAACCTTTATGGATGTCTGTCCACACCAAACCTGAGTCACACTCCCTGGAATGATCACGAAAGTGGAGAACCGCAGGCTGGCTCTATCTGTAGAGGGGTCATGCCATCCACTTCCATGATGATTCCAGGGAGTATATCCTATCGCGTTTTTGAGAAGTCGAACACCTCTTTGGGGCCCGGGAAGGGCAACCCCGATGGGAAGGGGTCTCGAGGAGAAGGTCCGACCTGTCAACCACTGAGGATCTTGTTTGCCTTGTCTAGGCTGCTGAATGCTGCTAGGATCTACTACCGTACTGTAGGAGGTCTTTATTTCATCTTGTTCCACCACTCAAATCGGGGAAGGTGATCGATGATCTGTCCCAGACAGTGCTGTGTCCAGCAGGTCTTTCATGTCACCGGCACGGCAAACACCAAAGAGTTGCGCCTGTCGGACACTGCCGAGACGCATTGCAACATGGCTTGGCTACGTGGGGCCAATGGCGGAAAGGGTGGGAATACCCAATCTCTGCAGGCCTGGAATGGGGGGGGTCCGGGAATCTGGTTGAATTCTGGGAGAATTCCTACAATGTATGTTGGAACGGCAGAAACCCGTGGATCTGTTCAAATCCTCGGTCTTGGGCTTGCAACAACTGAAACTCTTCCATGATCGACCTGCTACGCTGACAAACTCTGATAAGCACCGTTGGTACAAACCATACAGCGTTTGTACCGTTGGTTCCAAGGAATGTGCTCGAAGAGACCGGCCAACGTCATCCGTTGATTCCATCGGATGTTGGTTGATGGGAAACACTCCATACAAAAAGAACGCTGAGGTTCTTGGCGTTCACCAAAGACTAGAACTAGAGTCACTAGAGTCACAGTCACAACACTGCAAGTCCTAACCTATCCGCGTCAGTGAGATGCTTTCTTCAGGCGGCTGGTGCCTTGGCTTGAGATGCTTCCTGTGATCATTTTTCCGAGCCAAATTGACTCTGAGAGCTTGACAGGGCCACGTCACATCCCCCCAACCACCGACCGACCCCCCCCCCCCACACCGGCCCTACAACCGGCCCTACAACCGGACCCTAGACATCGGATGAAGGACGCGCCCTATACATGGCAGTGATCACGTTTCCCTTTAAAAAGAACAACGGGAACACTCACCGAAGCGGAAGGGAACTCGGTCCCGTGTGGAGGGGGGGCGAGGTGAACTCATCAAGTGCGCAAGCACGAATGAGTGCAGCCCGAAGAGACTTCGAGCATCTGGGAGTGGTAAACTGTAAACCTGACATCAACCCATCTTTCGGATAAAAGAAACGCAAGTAGTGAATGGACTATCACCCTGCATCCAAAGTCAATCAAAGAGTCTAACCTGAACTGTTGTAATCCATCACCTAAGCCTCTTCAAAGCAAGATTCAGTTTAAAGGCAACAGCACGCCAACTGTTCACCACTACTCACTACTCTTCATGACTCCTTCAAACTTCACACTGAATCCGCCGGGCCATCGTCTGCAGGTCTTTTCACGAGGATTCCCAGAGCTCCAAGAAGCTACTGGGTGTCAGCAGGCAGTTGCCACCTGGCCAGGTGATTTCAACCTTACATACCTTACCCTGTATCGACTCTGTCCAGCATGGCCATTGAGAAAATAGACTTCACCCCTGTCCCCGGTCTCGCGTCCGGTCAGGAGACATACTGGGTCCCGTGTGGGGCGTTGGAATGGTCACGCGTGCGCTTGGCCGCTCGGACGTGGAAAAAAACGCATTGCCTTTGACACCTTCACCAGAAGACGTTGTCTTCAGACCTTGTCTTCAGACTGTTTCTGTTTCGACCACACATCTCCGGAGCTCCGGAGCTCCTTCAAGGGAGAAGTAACCGATACATGGCTCAAGTCAAGAGGCTTCCCAGGTCCATAGGATCGTTGGACTTCCCACACGTGGCGTCGCCGTGGCATCGGACCCTGCGCACCGACGTAGGCTTGGATGCCAGGCAGTTGTGCCGTCACCTGCGAACCGCGGATGCCCTGGGGCGGAGCATGGGTTGGTGATGACCCGGTGATAGAATCCACAAAGAAGGTTAGAAGGGTCGGTGGTGGCGGATGAAACATCCATCAACCACTTGAGTCGATCATCTGTCAGGAACGAGATGAATTACAGTACCATTTGCAAGGATTCCAAGTTGGGGTGGTTGTCACATCACCAGGACCTGATGAGGGGGTGGCAAGTTGGCTCGGAAAGTTTGGGAGCAACAACTGCAACCTGCAACAAGCACGCTTATGATCACATCATTAGCAGGCACAACAACCAGCCGTGTGGCTCCTGCAATGTATTTTGACTGAATGGTGGTTGCCATTGCAGCACTGAAATGTGCTCACGCTGCAACGGTGCCTGTCAATAGAAACCAGATACATCCAAATGATTACTGTCTGTGCGGCATGCATGTGCATTACTGTCAGTGCCACACAGGAACGAATCCTATGGATGCGACCAAATCCTATGAGCCGCCTGCAACCCAAGCCGGAGCCCCTCTCGACATTCGATAGCAAAACATGCATTTGATTGAAAATCAATCGAGTCTGTCTGAGTCTATGTCTGGTCTGTATTAAAATCCAGCGAGTCGTCATGTTGTGACTCATCATAGTGACTCATCGTGACCACCTCTGCGATCGCAGATCTGTCGCCATCAACGCCTCGTGTGCCGCACGCACTTCCGGCAGCGTGATGCCGCCCAGGACGAAGACCACCACCTGACTTCTCCAGCGCGGCCAGGACGGGTATCCGACTTGATCCCGAAAACACGAGTTGGACCGTAGTGGTGACAGTTCCAAGAGGAACAGTTCGTTGTATGGTAAGAGTGACAGGAGATAACTGAGGCAACTGTGGGATAACCATGCATAGTTGTCCAGTTATCAAAATTGAACGGGTTTATGTCACCTTCTATCTCTTCCAACAAACCGCATGTCACAAGTGGAGAAGCTCAAGAGTGAGTTTGGCTCGAAGGAAGACAGAACACGACCAGATGCCCGATGGACAGTTTTTGACAGGCTTCGTTGCTGGACACCTTACTTGTTTTTCCCCTTGAAGATAGGAAACAACTGTCACCTGACTCTCGAATTAGCAGAAAAACTTTGAATGCTACACTATGTCTTACAAAAGAGCACACGTCATCTGAATAATATTGTCGTACGGTTCTTGCTTGATCGGAGAAGGCTGAGCTCTCCTCATTCCGCCAACACCGGCAACATCGAGTGGTCGGTGTGGAGATGTTTCAGAAGGCCCAAAAGATTCTTTGATGGTTTCAGAAGCCCAATATATGCTTGGTTGGACATCCCCAACAAATCCTCGCTTGATCCGCGTGGCTCGGGGCTGTTTAAATGAAGTCCGGCGGCCGAGCTATTGGGTGCGTGGCCGACCACGCCGTTGGGACTCCTGGCCCCGGTGATCCCAAGTCCTCCCGGGTGATGGGCCCCTGGTGATATAATTCAAGCTCCATGCACAGCTGGTTATTTAACTTCTCTTAGATAATCATGAAGGGTTTGCATGTACCAGTACTGTGTATTAATATCATGTTTAAAATAGATACACTCTGTCACCCAAGATCATGATTCATGGTACAGAATTGGTCCATGATCATTCTGTGCTGTGACATGGTGAAAACTGCCGCTTGGAGGAGGGCTTCTGCTTGCATGTTGGTCAATCGCAGGCTAATCTGAGTCTTTTCTTGGCGCGCTTCAGACCTGAACGTAAAACATCAAATGATCCAAGTCATTCAATATGCCACTCTTTGTTACTGATACAGAAGAACGAAGCTGCT